TGGTGACRGAGCWGTTCCWGCAGGAGAACAGCTCAGAGCTGCTGGGATTCACAGCCAAATGTTTCAGGAGTGCAGGGCTCTTCCCTCAAACCAGGAAAATCTTGGAAGAGCCAGGACCAGTGGGTGTTAAATTCACTTTATGGCACTGCAAAGGCAGGAGGTGCTGCAAAAACAGCTGCAGCCAGCACAAAACCAGCAGGAACAGCCCCGTTCCATCCTTGGGGGTGTCCCTGAGCCTTTCCCCAAACCCAGCTGAACTCCCAATATCCGGATGAMAATAGCTTTGGGAGATCCCAAAAACAYCTGCAGACATCRGAGTGGGAAGAAGGAACAGCAAAWTAATCTCCTCCTCCTCCAAATCCCAACTCCCGCCTGCTTTTTTACCATCCCAGCTTCCCTGGCTGAGGCTGGGGGCTGCACTCAACCCAAGCAGGGTAATTCCATGGGCTTTGAGCCTTGGGACTGCTTTCCTCTGCTCTGCAGCAGCGTTTGTCTCCTACTTTTCTCTGCTGGAAGCAGGAAAAAAAAAAAAAAAAAAAAAAAAAAAAAAAGGTACTTCTAGCTCAGCCAGTGGATGATTTTTATCAGCTCATTTTAGTCAATAAAGAAAGAAGTCAATCACTCCTGGAAAATAGCACTTTCCAGTGCTGGATAAACCTGGCCAGTACAATTGYGGAATAAATCAATAAGTGCATTAATCAATACGATGTAAACTGCTGATCTCTGTGGATAAATTGTCCTGGTGTAAGAAGGCTTTCAAATAAATTCCAAACCCACTCAAACTGCACGGGTTTTAAATCTACCGAGGGCGCTGGGACCTGGGGAAGATTTGTGCTGTTGCTCTTTAAAATCTCCGGGATAGCAGCGCTGCAGAATAATGTAATTAAATCATGGTAACAGYGCTCACACACAAATTCTGCTGCGGTGAGAGCCCCAGAGAAGATCCCTTCACTCAGATTTGCCAGGAAAAGGGRATTTCAGAGTGAATTTCACAGGGTGCCCAGAGCAGCTGTGGCTGCCTCTGGATCCCTGGCAGTGCCCAAGGTCAGGCTGGACATTGGGGCTGGAGCAGCCTGGGACAATGGGAGGTGTCCCTGCCATGGTAAGGGTAATGTTGGATAAGTTTTAAGGTCCCTCCAACCCAAACCATTCCATGATTTCCATGTCTTCCATGATTTCTTGATTTCCATGATTTCCATGATTTCCATGCTTTCCATGATTTCCATGATTCTCAGAACAGCACAGGGTGCACAGAGAAGGGAAGGTTCCTCTGCCTCCTGCTCCTTTTACAGCCCCAAGAGCTGCAGGTTTTGCCTCTCCAAACACCTATTTTCTTTTTTTATAAAACTCTGCATTCAAGCATCTCAAATTTTTGTTTTGCATGTTGCCACAACAGTGGGATAATCTGCTGGTAGTCTTCCCAAAGCAAGGCCTCTGGCAGAATCTGTGGATGGTTTATGAGGGAAAAATTGGATTATTATGCCCGAGGAGATGGGATCTATGGCAGCAGAGTGGGTGGAGCAGAGGGACATGGCTGGGAATGTGCCTGGAAAACCAGAAAAGGGGACAAACAGGTAGATAAATGAAGAAAATTAGTGTTGGACATTTCACTGGAGGTATTCTGGAAAAAAACCCAACAATTGTTAGGACCTGATGTCCCAAGCACACCAATTCCACGTATTTTATTGAACACACCTCACAGAAAAACTTCTGCTCTTCCCTTTAGCATTTCAGAGTGATTCCAGTTCAATCCATAAAGATGGCAAACATTTGGAGCTGGTTTTCACTACTGGAATATATTGGTGTCYATAAAGCAGGTTAAGTAAAGGAACAATGCACAGCAGTATGATTAATATGACATTTTAATTGCTGCGTCAGACACATTTTCAAGTATTAAGTGCTG